CGTGGTTAGCAGCCCAGCAGCTCCCAGGAAACTGCCAGGAGCAAAGCAGGGCAGGGGCAGGAGCTGGGGGGAGCACAAAGCCCTGGCTACTCCAAGCGGCGCCCCCAGCACCGGGAATGCCCCTCCCGGAGCTGTGGTGCTATCGCTGCTCTACATGCTTCCGCAGTTCCCAGCCCTGGCTCCGGAGCCTGCCTGCCCCCTGCCTGCCCGACTGGCGTGACTCACTCGAGGCCCCTCCCTATCTTTCACTTTCACCCAGCACCCAGAAGGGGAGTAACTTCCTCCTCCATTTCCTTCCTCAGCTCCCAGGCCCTGGAGGGAGTGAGAGACCCTCCCCACGCACCCTCTTTGTCTTCATAGATGGAAGGTGGGGGAGGGAGAGGACAGAGACCAGGAGGGCATCCACGTTACCCTGGGTGGGGGGAGGATTTGGGCAGAGGGGAGAGCCGAGGGACAGAGAAGCAACCTCTTGAACAAACTCCTTTCTCTTGCTTTCAAACCCTTTTCCCCTGACAGCCAACCTAATTCAGAGCAGAGACCCAAAAGCCAGCCCCCAGACTGAAAACCACCCTGGGCACCCCCATGAAGCTGCAGGGTGGGACTGTCCAGCTCCGCCCCTCGGGAGAACATTGGGCCCAGCACCAACTCGCAGTGCCTGTCTGCAGGAGACAGAGGAGGGAAGAATATGCCAGCCTGGCAGGCCCACATGCCTCCAGGGGGCTGTGAGCACCCCCCACGGGCGCTCACACGCACTCCTGCCTTCCCCATCACAGCCCTGTCGCCTTGTGAGCCACAGCACAGGCGTGGGGCCTGGAGCAAGGGAAGGCCCACGTGGCAGGCAAGCCTGAGTGCATGTGCCAGTGTGGGGCCTAAGGAGCGGCTGGGAGGGGCTGGCAGGGGCGGGTGGCTGCTCAGTGTCTCCCACCAGGCTTTGGAGGAGACAGGGTGGGGTCTGTGAATGGGGGCTCCAGGCCAGGGCTGCTTCTGCCCAGCGAAGGGGCCAGGGGCCAGATGCAGGTCTCACAGGGGCTTACCCACAGCTGTATGCTCAGGCCTGGAAGAGCTGGGCCCGGCTGTTCTGCCTTCCACCAGCACCCTGCACAGTAGGGAGGGCCATCATTCAGGACACCACCAGATTCCTGAACCTTGAACAGGGATATTCTTCAAAGAAATCAAGGGACCTGGTTTTGGGGGAAGCTGAATCACCCAAGAAGCTTCCTGCTGCAGAGACCTCCCTATCGAGCCCACTGAAGAGCTAAGGAATGCCAGGGTCATGGACGCTTAGGCCTGGGACCACCGGAGAAGAAAGGTCATATCTAGGGGACGGGAAGAAGAGTGAAAGATACCTGGGAGGAAGGGGGGAGGGCACAAACCCAGGCAGCAGGGCATTAAGTAGTAGTAGTAGCAGCAATAATAATAACAACACATCGATGCCAGGCAGGTCCTAAGTGCTCTGCATCCTTTAAATTCCCACAATAGTCTTCTAAGGCTGGCACTGCTATTTTAACCTGCATTTTACAGGTGAGCTAGATGAGGTTCACAGGGGCTAAGTGACTTGCCTATGGTCACAGTCATTATGTCGCAGAGCCAGGACTTGAAGCCAGGTGTGCTGGACTCTAAGATCAAGCTCTTATTTCTTATTCCCAAGACATGCCACTAAGACTCCAGGTCCCTCTGCACACACCTCCTTTCCACACTCCCCACCACCTCAGAGCAAGGATTTTCTAGACACACAGATATTCTTCCTCATGGCACTGGGAAGCCCCTTACCCCTACCTGAACCTCTGGCAAGTAACCCTCTCCCATTCTCCCCAAATACAGCTGTCTCTTGATTCTACAGGAAGGGAGGGCAGGAAAAGGGTCTCACCACCGAGGTGCCAGTAGGTGTGTCCGGTCCACCTGCAGGGAGCCTGATATACTTCCTCCTGCACTGGCCACCTTGGCCCCAGCCTCTGGGCCTGGCCTCTTCAGCTCCTGCAACTCCACGCGGGGCTCACTCCTGCTTGCTTCTTGGGGCTGTCAGCTCTCAGACCCCACTGGCACCTCCCAGCCTGCAACTCGGGGCAGGACTGAGCCACTTCCTCCCGTTTCTTCTGCCCCACCCCCACTCCCCTGGCCCTCAGGTGGAAGTCAGACTGCCCTTCCTCACAGTGAGGGAGAGGAAGGAAGCCACCTGCTCCGAAGGCTGCTGACCTACGCACCAAGTCCCCAAGGTCGCAAGGAAGAGAGTGTGTAATGAGGAACTCCTGAAAGCAGCTCACCCCTGGGACCAGCTGCAGGGCCTCTGACAACAGATGCAGGAACACTGCAAAAGGAAACCCACAGTCGCCACGGGCCCCCAACACGGCAGCCCGCTCTGTCGGTCTGTTTGACTGTCACGCTTTATTCACTCTTCCCTTCCTCCAGGCTGCAACCAATCCTTGCCCAGACCCACGGGTGAACCTGGACTGAAGACAAGAATCAATACCAAGGCCTGGGACCTCTGAAGCTTTCAGGAAGAGCTATGGTGAGAGCACTTTCTCTCTACAGAAGAGAACAGTGTGCACCAAGAAAGGAAAACAGTACTGAACCCACAAATGTGTTTTGCAGTCACATGAGGGGAGGGTGCTAGAAAGGCCTTCGGGTGTTCAGCGCTGATGGTGACACCAGCTCTCCAGGGACGTGAGCTTGAACACACACTACTCCTCGAGTGCCATCAGCAGCCCAGCCACATGCCCAACATTGGCTGGCCGACCCCAGGAGTCCAGTAGCCCTCACCACAGTGCACTGAGGGGCCAGGGCCACTCACCAGCCCACTTGGGGCATTCAGTGGGGTGACAGCCGACTGGAGGATGCTCCTGCCCTCAGAGGCTAATGCTCCAATCTCCTGCTTCACAACCTGGGGCACCCCAGGCCCCACGAGTGCAGCGCTAGGAAGAGGGGTGCCAGAGCGCATGCATCTCCCCTCCAAGGGCAGGCAGGTTAGTTCTCTGGACACCAAGAGGCTGTCTTACGACAAAGTCTAACTCCCTACCTTGCCCACAAGTCCCTGCAGACTTCGGCTCCTGCCACCTCTTGGCACTGCATGCTTGAGCCTACAGTCAGGGCCTCCAACATGCTGCTCCCGCTTTGCCTCCAGGTCTTTGATCCGGTGGTACCTCTGCCAAGGAGACGTTCTACTCTTTTCATCTGGCCAAGTCCCACTCATCCTTCAGGTCTCAGACACTGCTTCCTCCAGGAAACCTTCCCAGACCCCAAGGCTGAGAGAGGAACTGCATTATGAGCCCTTAACACCTCCTAAGCCCCCACCACTGTGCTCAGCACACTAAATCCCAAGCGCCTGTTTCCTCCTCCCCAACAGACAATAGGCTCCATGGGGCACAGTCTGCAGACTGCTGTACCTTGGCACTTGGT